GGGCGGAGAGCGGATTTTCGCCCTCCGCCCGAGGATGTGCGTGAGTGGCGCGAAGCCGCTCGCCGAGCCCACGATGGCTCGTTGGTCGTTCCGGCTGGAGACTCCACGCGCTGGCTTCGCCGCCGTGGAGGCTCTCCAGCCGGTCATCGCCGAGTGGGCAGGGCGGCAGCACGGGACCCTTTCCTTCCGACTGACGCAGGTGCTTTCCGGGCACGGTTGCTTCGGAAAGTACCTGCACACGGTCGCTAGGAGGGAACTGAGTCCCGCCTGCCACCACTGCGACTGCAGTGAGGACTCGGCCCCAGCACACGCTGGCGGTCTGCCCCGCATGGGGCGGCGCAGCGCCGGGCCCTCACTGCAGTCATCGGAGTGGATCTCTCGCTACCGGCCGTAGTACGCTCCATGGCCGGTAGCGACAGTTGTTTTACCGCCGGTCGCAACCTTCTGCGAGGTAGTAATCTCGCGGAAGGAGGCGGCGGAGAGGGCCCGGGGAGGACGACCCTCCACTCGGACCCGATCCGCCGCCGGCGAACCGGGCGGCGGAGGCCCGCCTACCACAGCCTCATGCCGCCCTGAGTGTGGCCGCGGGTGGACGGGGTGGGTTTCCCCTCCACCCGCATTAGTTGGCCAGCCGCGAGGGGGCGGCGTCCGCGTGTGCCGGACGTCGCCTATAGAGAGGAACAACACTGAGACGGAGCCCGCACCAGGAGCGGGCTGGCGCTAGGAGGGGTCCGGATGTCTTAACAACAGCTGTTCCCGGATCCCTCCTGTTACAGGCGCAGAGTGGCACACCGTGTGGTTTTAGTCGGTCCGAGTCCGACACACCACCCCGCCGCAAACCCCGGAGGGGTGACGGTCCGAGGGGATTTCCACACGTTAAAAAAAAAAAAAAAAAAAAAGGGTTTGCGTCAAGTTTTCCTTCTCATTGCAGTGCTATTGTTTTACGTAGTTTCCCCTTAGTATACTCTTACAACACCCACGGAATGAATAGTAGACACTCCTTATTCTTAATAATTAGGCATATTAACAAATCTAATTTATTGAAGTTTTGGTGGGTTCCGTTTTAATTACGCTAGCAAAACAAAATATGCATAGAAAAAAAATCGGTTGTCTGTAAAGTCGGTTTACTGACGATAGTTGAACGTGACAACGTCATAAGAAAATACTGATGGAATGGTTGCATTTTAAAAAAATGTATTATTGTATACGAGTAGCAGCTGTCCACGCGGACGCATCGCTCACTCAAGTAGGAGAGAGACAGATGTCGAACGCTGCCGAACGCGGAGACCGATTGTGCCTCTTTGTGACTCGTTCCGCGCTCTCGCTTGCACTTCACGCCTTAAATGGAACGCCTCAGAACGAGGTAACGCCGCATGAGTCATGTTTTTTCGTGCGTGCAGCCGGCTCCATCGAATTATAAGACGTTGTTTGACGTTGTTGTGTTGTGAATTACAAAAATGAAATTCAATGTTATGATTATGAATGATCAAGTAAGAAAACGGTGTAGGTTGAAAAAAGAGACGGTGACAAGTATTGAGAATGAGACGCTGAGATGGTTGGAGCATGTTGAAAGGACGAGCGAAGAGCAAATGACTAAAGACGTTTATAAAGGGCGAGCCGGTGCCGGCCTCAAAAAACAATTGTACCTACTACCTGCATTATATTTCTTTTTACTTCACTTTTTATTATATTTGGTGTACAATAAAGAGGTTTATTATCATAAAACATTAGGTACATGTTAACTAGGTAAATTCTATTATTAACCTCAATGAGAGATTCCTTATCTCAGATAAGTAAACGTTGCCTTCATCGGCCTAGTTTATTTGTTTTGCTTAAAATGCATACAAATCATGACAGTAAAAAAATATTACCTACTACGAGTAGAAATGTTTAACAATCCTTCTTTCTTTAATCTTGGTGAACTTAACCTCTACTAATATTGTGAAGCTGAAGAGTTTGTTTGTTTGGTCGAACACGCTAATCTCGGGAACTACTGGTTCGAATTGAAAAAAACTTTTAGTGTTGGATATCCCATTTATCAAGAAAGACTATACAACATCTCACGCTACAAACAATAGGAACCGAGCATCGATCAAGCATGTTGCAAAAACGGGGAAAATGTATTCCATTTGAGAGACGCAGTTTTTTTTTTTTGATCTCCTTTGTTTGATACGTTTATAATTAAGACAGCCCTATAAAATGGGACATTACCTAGTGCAATCTCAAATGTAGGTCAATTTGCAGAAGTCTGTACATGATAATTAAATAGATTATTGACAGCACTCACATAAATATATAACAAGTGAAGCTGAATCGTCCGTGTGGTGACGGATATTGAGTTTCGCCACCCCTATTCATCCTGTGGTCGTCGTAAGAGCCGACTAAGGTAAGGTAAGATAAGATGGTACAGTTCTAAAAAACGGGTAAAAGTTTGGGTTTCATTTTTTAAAACGTATTATTATACTCGTAACGCGCTATCGTGACGAGGCATTTATATTTTCTTAATAATAAGGGATGCTGTCAACATAAATATGATTGAAGATAAATTGATATTTACACAATATCTATTTAGTGTCCGCTATTGTTATTAGGTGGCAAATGTATCAAAAATAACTATTATTAGATATAGAACATTTTCAAAGTGCCGCTTTTTTTGCACAATCGCTGTTCTGCAGGCATTAAGTTAGGTGATGCTATTTTTTAGATGAAACCGATTATATATGTCATCGTAAATTTGTAAAAACTGTTTGATTATAATCTGTCTTTTGAGCTTAGAAACTTTCGAAATATTGTGCACTGGAACATACTGTTTACAATTTAACGCATTATTAATAGGTAGGTAGGTAGTTTATAACCTATCGAAGAGAAAACGTTAAATTCAATTTTTTTTAATGATTGATCCTCCCTTTCTGTGACACACAATTAATATAGTTACACGAAAAAATCTCGATAAATATAAAAAAAAAACACGAAGGTTAAGGCAGCTTCCAACCTAATATGTGTCGGGGCGGGCGGGCATTTTCGGTACACAATCTTTCGACATTTTACAATCTCGCGAGATACATTATAATCGAATGATGTTTAAAATTTTCTTGTAATATGTACTATATGTATACTCGTATACTGGGGACGATTTAGCGCTAAGATTGTCATTCAATGCGCATTCCTGAGAAATTTTAGTTGTGATGACCTCGCTATGTTTACAAGCGAGATTGCTAGAAGTAGAAGTTTCGAGAAGAATTCTTCGGCGATGGCGGAAAGAGAAATCCACAAAAATACTTTATGTTTTCTTTTTTATGGTGTAGGAGGGGAAACGAACAGACGGATGACCTGATGGTAAGTAACTACCGCCACCCTTTGTCAGCTGCAACTGAAGAGTCACAGGTGCGTTGTCACCTTTTGAATACTCCCCCTAAATAATCTATACTAATATTATAAAGCTGAAGAGTTTGTTTGTTTGTTTGTTTGAACGCGCTAATCTCAGGAACTACTGGTCCGATTTGAAAAATTCTTTCAGTGTAGATAGCCCATTTATCGAGGAAGGCTATAGGCTATATATCATCACGCTAAGACAAATAGGAGCGGAGCACCAATGAAGAATGTTTAAAAAACGGAGAAAATTTATTACTATTGAGAGACGCAGACGAAGTTGCGCGGGTCAGCTAGTAATAATATAATATACGGCACACATCTCACACACGGCCGTCTGATCCTAAACTAGGCAGAGCCTGTACTGTGGTAACCAGACTGCTCATAAACATACTTATATATTTTTAAATATATACCTACATATTATAGATTTATTACACCCAGACACAGAACAAATGATCAGACAGACGTACTCATCACACAATATTCGTCACGGGTGGGAATCAGGGCCACTAACCACTAGACAGGCCACAGGCCCGTCTAGACCAACAGACCAACTTTACTTGGTAAAAAGTAACGAAAAATGCTTACCACCTGTTTTCTATCAGGCCGTGGTATCACTCCGGTCGAGCCGGCCCATTTCTGCCAAAGCATGGCTCTCTCGCGTGGGAATATACATAACACACTTCAAGGCAAGTCACTACCTTAAGAAGTTATTATTATTTTACAAAGAGTGCAGAATGCTATACTAAGAACAATAGCAGACGTCCCTTGGTTTATCACCAACTCTGAAATTGACACACCTAAATATAAACACTGTGGAAGAAGAAATTTAGGCTGCCACGCAAAAGGTTTTCACGGTTTTTTTTAAACGATCCAAATGCACTTGCGGCGAGTCTTACTACCCGCAGCTTTCAAAAACGGCTAAAAGTATAGGGGAAATGAAGAAATAAGGAGTAGTTGCCCCCACAGGACCTGCCACAACCTATCACTTATCTGCTTATAGTTGGCTACGGCAGAACAAAAAAAAAAGAGCCTTAAGAAGAACCGCTATAGAGGATTGGCTCTAGAGGCGATATATCTGTCCCCCATTACTTCGTGAGGAAGTTTGCGTATTGTATAGAATACAATGAACTTTATTGTTTTTTACAAGAGTACATAAAATAATGATAAAAATGAAATGACGTAATGCACTTTTCGCTAAAAAGCAATCTCTTACAGGCAACCTTTGGATAGACAAATCGACTGTAAATAGACGAGTTAGTGGGTAGTTTTAGTGTAGAAAAAGTATGAGATGAGAAATCAATGAGAAATCACCAAATATCATTTTCAGAAGGCTAATTCTCGTAACAAAAGTTCTGTCTCAATTCAGTTCCGATCAACTCTTGACATTACAACTGTCATAAAAGGTATTTTCTTAGTATGGTCATAGGCCCCTACACATAAATACAACCAAGCTGAGGCAAGTAATGTTAATGTCATGACTTTGATTAGGTATATATGGTTTTATTCAGTGTTTTCTTATGACAGTTTTTTTACATCCATTTTTTTTAATTATTTATTTATTTATTTTATTTTATATTTCTAGAATAGTTTACATTTACAAGAAATAATATATTTAGCTTACATACCTTAGACTCAAATCATCAACATCTAAATTCAGTGTGTCTTTTCTCCGGCTTCTCTCCACATTCTCCTTTACAACTAAATTCTCTTCGGAGGTAATCTTCACTTGAACATCAAACTTGTCCGTTTTACTTTTCACATCAGCCTCATTTGGCACTGCCATCCTAATGTTATCTGTAGAATAGGATTTTATATGTATGGTTTTATTATTATCAAATGGGTCTGATTTTACTTCAAAATTTGAGTCTTTTTTTTCTGTCTTCTCTCTTTTATCTTCTGAATCCTTGTCAAAGTCTTTCTTGAATTCACTTGAGTCACTTTCTGATGTTGTACTTGAAATTACAGATCCTTCTTTTAAGGTACGCACTTTTATTCTAACATCAAATTTTGACAAGAGTTCGAGTTTAGTTTTAAAGCTTGGTTGATGTTGTTCTTCACTTAATTCGGTTTCTCTTGGTAAACTTGGGATCTGAGAGAGTTCCCCTACATCAGTATTGTTGTTTGTGATATCAGGTGCAGTTATTTCCCCAGAAATATTCAATTCAGGTGAGCCAGAAACTTCTTCAGATATTACAACCAACTTTACATCAGAAGAAACATTGCTGTTCTCATCAGACTCTCTTGCAATAGGCTCTGGCTCATCTGCTGTGATGTTGCCATCAGTTGCTGTTGCAATCACAATTTCACTGCTTGTGTAGTCTTCAGGATGTTGAGATCGAGGGCTATAAGTAACTTCCAACCTTATGTTCTGTGCATTGGGGTCTTCAAATCCTGAATCTATTATTTTACGTCTCAGTATGTGATTCTCTAAAGTCAGTTTTTCTATAACATCAGCATATTCTAAACAATGAGAGTGCTGTTCATATTTCTCTTTTAACTGCTTAAGTTCATTTTTAGATAGTTCAAGTGCAGTCCTGAGTGACACCACAGTTTGGTGAAGAGCTCTTACTGTGTCCAAGTGCACAGGCCCGGAAGGCCCCTCCGGTTTGACGCTATCCATGCCACCTTGTTACCCTCCAATGATCCAATATTCAACATCCCATACATGACTACTGTTTTCAAATATCTCTCAAAACATAATCACTGCACCATCCATTGCCTGGGAAACGTAACTACAGCTTGAATAAATAAACAACCATTATATTATGCTGTACCGCACGAATACGCCGCCTCCGGCGAAAGAAACTCATCGATGACCTAATGCGTGAATAAAACTATTGACATGCATCATTTCGTCGCACATTCTTAGATCTTTATCGAGTTCCGAAGCGGTTAGAAGAACACCACTGTACCGGGGTACGAAAGGGCAAGTAATCGATAAAACAACTCGCCCAAACTGTTGTAATTAGCTTAAAAGCTGTCGGTATTCGGGCGGAGCGACTCACAGCTGGCACCGACCACTGATAAAGTCTGACACGGAAGGTGGTAATTAAGCCAGGATACTATCTTCCAATCGCTCCGACAAGGCTGTACAGTTTACTATACTTATAATATACGATACTTAAAAATCTTCCTGTACTCCTACTTGTAAACAAATCAATACTCTAATTTGGCGTTCGCGGGCACTAGTGCAAGCAGGAAGGAAATCTATATCCCTTTCATTTATAAATCTGTCAACTTGACAGTTTTGTGACCGTTTCAAAATTCTGTTTAAGTAATTGACTTTTTCAAACCGAATTTTCGATCACAAAATTTATTAAAGGCTGAGTATAACTTTAAATTAAGTATTCAGAATTATAAAGTAACAAATGTTTATTCAAGTACTAATGGCACACCCAAAACCTTTATTACAGTAATCATTCTGCTTGACTGCAAACGGAATCAATAATGTCAAAAACATATGACAAAAAAATAACCTCTGACTGAAGTCCGACTGAACTAAGTTTTGTTTTCAATGAATTATTGTATTGTTTAAAAATGTTTAATATTTCAAATATTTATCGAAATGTATCAGTTACTTCATATTTATTACAGCAAGCAAGATTTAAAAACAAGATACACTGGGTACTCATACTATAAAATTAGCTTAAAGAGTATAGGTTTTTGTTTATGCAATTTAAAAAGTTTGTGCTTTTTTTTAAGGCTAAGTTAAAAAAGAAAACAAGTCCAAAATATAAAGCATTGAATCATTTCGATGATTTCTATGGATCAGTGTTTGGTAACAAATGGCCATCTATGCGAGAGGCATTATTGCGACGGCCAAAGTATGTTGCGGTTGTAAATAATTACGGAGATGCTGAGGAGACTTCAGAATATCTCACAAATAGAGGTAAAACAGGAAACGAATACTTTTTTTTTAACAGTTTCCTCCAAAGATTTAGCCATTTTTGACATAGTTAAAAAATACTGGTTCTATAATGTGTGTCATAACGTGATGTTGAAATTAAGCCACTTGACTTTTCAATAATCTCATTCCTTTTTATCGTTATAAAAGCTTTATAATAGTAAGACAATGCTTTAGTATGCTTCTATATATCTATCTATCTACTACTCTTGGTGTATTAAATTGAAGAAAATAGGGGTTAAAGGTCTAATATGTGTAAAGAAATAAAAATTAAGTAAAATAAATCAAATTTAAAAGTAAATTCTCAACTGTTTTGTCTCATTTACTTATTCACACATAATTATAACTCCCATTTAAGGCACTTAATTGACATTTTCTAATAGCTTAACATCACTATTAAACTGTGTTAAGGAGTAATTCAACTAGTGGTTATTTGATAGAAAATGTACTGTAATAAATGTAACTAAACATAAAAATTTAAAACCACAAATTACTGCATTCGAATTTCCATTATCTGCTATCTACATTTAGCATAAGCTTTAAAGTGGAAAATGCAAATACAGGAAATAGAGTAAGGGATACTGAAGCCTGAAACTAAATGTAGAAACAGAATTGCAACTGCACTATCTCGAAGATTGAAGTTGCACATCTGTATATCATTCCTGCAAAAGGAGAGGCCATTAGGGCAGCCACATCAATTATATATATATAAATGTATTGTGAATTAATAACCTTAATACATCTTATTAACTGTCTTCAAAAAAGGAGGAGGTTCTAAATTCATCAGAATCTATTTTATTATGGTTTGATTTAGTGACTGTCAATAAAAAACTGTTGTTTTTAAAAATGTAGGTGCTCATTGTCTAAAGAAGCTCATATCAATTCAACAAGAGTTCCACAAGCAATACACTCCTGAACATGCCCCAGAAAATCCAACAAGCATAGAGCAAGAATCCCATAAAATAAATGAGTTTATGGCACAACAACACACTAATGAAATTTCCAATATATACCCAAAGGGTGACAATGTACCTGAAAGATTGGAAATGCATGATGAAGACCATAGACAAAATGAAGTTATTAAAAATAAGGATAAATTGTGAGTAACTTTTAAATCACCTATATTCTTAAGTTTTAGTGAAAGGACATATCTGAAAGCCGTTCATGAGACTTGACACATTTTTTAACATGGCATATCTTTGAATGCTTGCAAAACTTTTTGTGTTCAATCAGTTTAAGCCGGCAGCTGGCACCCGAGATTATTGGTTTTGTTAGAATTGGTGGTGCCGGACCAGTTAGTTCATTCATTTGTATTCAACATAGACATTCATTAGTTAAAAACATTATTTTTTAATATTACAAGAATTACTTGACTGACTCAAATATTGTAATACTATCTTTTGCTTGCGGCTCCGTTCGCGTGTATGTAAAAATTAGCAAAATTAGAAAGCATAACAAATAAACTCACGGTCATATTTATAATATAAGTATTTACGTATAGACTAACAACAGTCTAATAAAACAAAAATTGGATAAAGTTTTAGATTAACTATGAATGTCAGGTAACAATATTTTTTCAATTTTTTCTGTTAACTGTGTTTCAGTAACCTCCCCACAAAGACATTAGACCAATCAATGGCAGAGGCGGAAATAGACACATCGAGGATCATTGACCCCTCATTAGGAAACACAAATGAAGCTTTGTACCAATATATACCAGCTACTAAGCTGAAAGGAATAGATGACTGGGTGCCAGAGTCTTTGCATTATTCCTATTATTCTAGTATGTTTTATTTTTATAAATACAACAATAATATAGATTATTCTATTATGAAGATTATATGATTGTTATATTCTATAGTCAGGCCTGTTGGTGTATTGGTTAGTGATTGTGACTGCTAGCTAGAGGTTATGGGTTCAATTCCCGCATGGGACAAATAATTCTGTGATGAGCATGATATTTTTTTGTTTGCCTGTGTGTAATTTATCTGTAATATGTAGGTATATATAAACAAATATGTAAATATCATTAGTCTGGTTACCATTGTATAGGCTCTGCCTAGGTTATGATCACATGACCGTGTAATCCTAACCTAGGCCTCTCCTTTCTAAGTCCTTTCTAAGGAGAGGCCTATGTCCAGCAGTGGACTATTAAAGGCTGTTGATGTGATGTGTGTGAGATGTTTGTGGTTATTATTATACAAAAAGTTATTATTTATTGATTATTATCTATTGGAAGATGTTTATTTACGATTTTCTTTCTCACTTTATAGTCATTATTATAATTTTTTAACTTATATGTTGTGCATGTAAACATGACAATATTATTTTCAGAGGACAAAGACTTCCCTTTAAGTATAGAACCAGAAGCAGAATTAAATTTCCCGGAACATTTGAAAGTGTTTACATATGAAATGGACAGTGAATCAAGAGATTTTCCTGAACCGAGAAGATGTCAAACAGGTAAATATAATAATGTTGCACAAACCTCATACAGATTTTTAAAGAATTTGATTGCACGGATGGCGTAGTGGTTTAACAGTCACCTCGCCTTTTCCTTTTCGAGTGTAGTGGGTTCGACCACTACATGGGACAAAACTCTTTGTGATCTACAAACTGTTGTTCTGAGTGTGGGTTGGTGATTTCTGTTACATAAATGTTGAACGACACAGGATATGTTCCTGAGATGTCTGAAAATATTATTATTTATTATTATTATTGTAAATATTAATATTATTATTGTCTTTTTTTCAGAAATAATAAAAAGAATTTCTTGAGACTTACAATGTAATAATATTGCAGTTTTTTAGTAATTTGTAGTGCTAAAATAAATAAATTTTAAATTACTGGCAGAACAGTTGATCAATTCACTATTGTAAACATCTTATGTATATATTTTTCACAATAATAATTTGATTGATTGTTTGAAAAAAACCATAGCCCAAACCTCCTCTCCCCTTTTTTTTTCCGTGCGGAAATCCCCTCGGATACCACCTGTCGGTGCCATGTCGGACTCAAACCGACTAAAACCGCACGCCGTCTCGGGTACTAATAGCCGGGGAACCAGGTATACCCTAGAAAGGAAGTAACCTCCTCTCCCCCTGGATTCGGTGGAGGAGTGTGGGGAAAAGTCAAAGGTCGCCAATGCACTTGTGACGCTTAAGTTGCAGATGTTCATGGGCCTTGACTTAACTAAGGTTTCAAAATATTGTTGCGCCATAGGATTAAATGTTTCTAGTATTGAGTAGTCAGTTCATGAACAATCGAAAGCCGTATAGAATCTTGAGACACAGCGCCATCTAGTATCGAGTTACTCACAACGACCACTAGGTGTTGTAATATTGATTTATAATTCCGATACTTGCTGCGCCATCTATTGTCGAATATCGGAATAGCTCATAGTAATCTGTAGATTCTTTAATATACGTGGGTATGTCTGGAAAGTGCTATGGGATCCCTGGGATTACTCTAGCAATTTCGGTGGCCCTATAAAAGCAGACCTTGTTGGCCGTACGGGACAGTATTGTTTTACTAGACAGCAGACTAACATCGAAGCGAAATTCTAGTGCGACTAATGAGCTATCTAGTGATTTTTTGTTCGTAATAGCGAGTGTTTATAAATACAGTGCAATTTTAGTAATAAACCGACTACTTTTATTTATGAATACTTTTGTTTAATTACTGAATACCCGTCTCGTAACGATATAAAAATAACTAAAAATATCTTTACACACCACAACAGGCTATTTAGAAAAAAACATAATACTTACTATGTTGTATACATTGCAGGTGTATATAACTATTATCCAATGGACTGTGGAAGCGTACTCTCGGTATTGGCTCTAAACTTAACTCCAGGAGACAGGCTGCTGGACTTGTGTTCGGCTCCAGGAGGGAAGGCACTCGTCGCGCTACAGACGCTACTGCCCGATGTTGTCGTATGCAATGATATCTCCATATCCAGGTCTAACAGGTGGGTAAAGAATTTCTGCATTATATATACATTAACAGGCAAGGGGTCGGGACGCCCGCTAGGCTACTTATGTAAAGCAGACAGAACTTAGAGAAGGAGGCTTATCTCAAGTCTTGATCTTTATATTAATAATATTTTAAGACGTAAGACATTATTTTATAGCTCTATACAGACTTAAAATAGTCATAGCTTTCACTGTCGGTTCTAGAATACTTGTATATATTACTTTTTAGGGTTCTGTACCTCAAAAGGTAAAAAAGGAACCCTTATAAGATCACTTTCTTGTCCATCTGTCCGTGTGTCAACACCGATTTTCTCAGGAACGGGTAGACCAAGCATGTTGAAATTTATACCAGATACTGAGGTCTATTGTCCCTATTAGGTGTAAAAAAAAATCATGTATAAATTTTTCAGAATTTTCTCTTTACTCGTGCTGTAAAACCTCGCTTTTAACCAAAATTGACAATTCTAGGTCAACCGGTAGTACCCTGTAGGTTTTGGGTTGAAAACCTATATGGTAGTTCCCGTTGACCTAGAATCACGCAATTTGGCAAAAAGAAATGTCTTACAGCACAAATAAAGGAATAATTCCAAAAAACAAAAAAGTTGAATATTAATATAAATCTTGGTAGGTACTTACAGATTTTCGCGAAAATCTACGTAAAATCGGGGTAGGTACGTAATCCTCGGCGCACGAGTTCGACTCGTACCTGACCGGTTTTTTTATGTAGATACGTATTTTACATAGATAGGTACACCTAAAACAAATCAATCAATCTCAATGACTGTACGGATATGGTTTCAGCGATCGCCACGCTGAGTGTTGTGGCTTCGATCCCCACATGGGACGACACTTTGTGTGATCCACAAATTGTTGTTCTGAGTCTGGGTGTTCTTTGTGTCCGTTTCATGTATGTTTGGTAAGTTCCCCGCGACACACGATATATTCTTCCACAGTCTTCCTAGATAAATAGGCTATCCAACACTAAAATATTTTTTCAATTCGAACCAGTAGTTCCCAGAGATGTCTTGTTCAACATACGCACTCCTCAGATTCATGATATTAGTATAGATTTCTATTGGTCGAGTGAAAGTGTCCCGGTCAGGAAAAAACCCTACAAAGAGGGAAAACTTGTACAAAATTTCAAAAAAATAATGCGGTTTTAACATCACATCACAATCAACAGCCTATAGTCCCTGCTGGACATGGCCTTCTTAGAAAGGGTTTTGGCCCACTAACCGCTAATGACCAACTTCAAACAAAATCCGTGAAGCAAAAGAGAATGAAATTGGGGACCAGTGTCAAAAGGGTGGAATATTTTCAAACACCATCAACATGGTGAGTGCATAAGCCGAAAACTATGTCTATGGGCAAACCAACCTCGGCCCCCACGGGGGCCCTCGTGGACCAAAAGGGAAATTATCCTTAAAACAGAGGACCGTTTACGGAGGTGGAAAAGAGTATATAACCGAACTCTTTCAAGACATTCAAGGACAGACCAAGAAGTGACAATGTCATGACGGGACCACCTAGTACTCTGGGCAAGAACTTGACACGCTTTGAATGGAATAAAGACGGCGAACGTTGCGGGCGAGGGACAGAATACAGTGGAACTGGCTACTACACATGGGAAATAAGACCAAAGCCAGCATGGTATCCCTGTTCAACAAAATCTATGATACGGGGCGTGATTCCAAATGACTTTCTACGCTCCACTTTTGTCACAATTCCCAAAAAACCAAGAGCGGTCTTGACCGCTTATCGCTTATTAAGCTTATCGTACGGTGATCTGAGCACTTGTGCTCAGATCACCGTACGATAAGCTTGATGAGTCATACCATGAAAGTGTTGCTGAGAATTATCTATAACCGAATCAAGAACCAAAGTGCGCGGATACCTTATGTCCGCAACAATGCGGTTTAGACGCTGGCATGGGCACACGGGAGGCTATATTTGCCGTCCAACACACTATTCGGCAGAGCGAAGCACTCGAACACCAGCAAGAAGTTTATCTGTGCTTCATAGAATATGATGAAAGCATTCGATCACGTCCGACTCTTAAGCTTATGGAATAAGTCTCTGAAAAGGAAGGGATTAGATGGAAAGGATCTCAGAATTATTGGCAACCCTTACTGGGAAACAAGACGCAGAAGTCCGGATCGAAAGGATGTTGTCAGACTGGAAAACCGATAGCTAGAGGTTGTCAGACAGGGGTGCATACTTTCCCCTCTTCTTTTCAAACTAATAATTCAGAGGATATCCTTACAGAGTTACTACGCGATAAAGAGAGGGAATACGCGTAATGGACGGCTGGTCAATAATATACAGATATGCAGATGACCAGTGCTTATCGCAAACTCAGCAGAAGCCGGACTGCAAACTTTATTAGATCGAATAGTAGCAACTGCGGGAGGAACAGCTATGGGTTTGTAAATTAATGTTCATAAACGTAAGACCATGGTTTATAGCGAAGACAATAGATGCCCACTCCAAAATATAAAGCTTCGGGGGGAGATGTGGCAGGCGTTGGTGGTTTTAAATTAATTGGCCGATACTTTACGAATTGACCTATTTTGACCATTTTGGAGAGTGAAATGTCGAATAGGAAAGCTAAGATTGCTTTCTCAAGATGTCTAAGGTTTTACGCTACCCAAAAAATCCCATTTCCTGGAAGGAACCTGCGTCATGAAGCTACGTGTTGTCCACCACTGTTGTATGGGTGTGAGACGTGGGTCTCTTAAGGGAAAGAAATATGTAACCGACCTGCAAGCCTTCGAGATGTGTTTATGCCGAGGATGTGTTGAAAAATCCCGTGGAATGTTTTACATCCAACGTAGATGTGTGGAGCGAGCCAAGTGCAGGAGAGAAACTGACTGGGGCGGTTATAGCGAAAAAAAAAAAAAAAAAGGGTGGGGTGGGGGTGAAAGGTGCGTCTTTGGACACATACACAACGGGGGCCCGCCAACAATGAATTACTAGGCTTCTGTAGAAGGAAAAATACCAGTCGCACAGAAGGCCACCAGGTCGACACGAAGGGAAGTGGATAGATGACATAGCTGGCCTGGACACGGAATGGATATCGCCAAATAATAGGAGGCCGCTCATGATCGAGGGGTGTACCGTCTGCTGACCTCCAAAACTTCATTTTGAGGATGGCACCCCATGATGATGATACCACGCTGGCCAGACGGGTTGGTATAGGGTTTATGTCAAGTTTTCCTTCTCTCTGCAGTTTTTTCCCTGAGTCGTCTCTTACGACACCCACGGGATGAATAGGGGTGGTGAAAACTCGTATTTTAATCGTCACCACACGGACAGTTTAAACATTCAAGTTATTATAAGTTACATATGATTGTATTATTATTTCAGGACCCCAAAAAAATATTTCGGCAGTACCATATTTGACTTCGAAACGAGTACAAGAGTGGCGGGAACGTGTTTATACTCAAACGTTCGACGGTCCGGATATTTTATTGATGACCAAGGATTTGACAAGGTATGTTCCGTCACTTATTTAACGACTTCAAAAAAGGAGCAGGTTCCCAATTCGACTGTATTTTTTTTTATGTTGTTACTCAGAAACTTTTGACTAGGTGAACGATTGACAATTCTTTGTTGGAGAATCTTTTATAAGCTCATTTGCAGAGGTTTTAGTAAAGTAAGATACAGTGTAATTCGGTTGTTTTTTTGTTTTATGTTTTGCTATCTCATAAACTCCTAACATTTGTCATTCCACAACTAATTATAAACCGATTGGAAAATGTGCTTTTTTATTCTGTACATATATATGTATTTAAAAAATATATTAGGTGTCTATCAGCAGTCTGGTTACCATAGCGTCAGGCTCTACCTATATTTTGCCATTGGATAGCTGTGTGTGGGATGAATCAGGTTAATATCTAAAAAGCACCTTTACTTTTAAAATTGAGGATGAATAAGCGCGCAAACAACGGTGGTCGGCAGACTTCTGTCAGCACAATGTCTGACACTGGAAACTATATGAAAGTAACTTTTGCTTTTGAGAGCTAGATGAACCTCAGCAAGGCTCACATAAGGTCCAATATCGTATGATGTGTAAAATGATTTCTTAGTACGAGTATATCGCCTATCGTCACCTAACAATATTAAGAGTAGTGATCTGCCAGATATCCGTATCCGTTTCCGCGGATATCCAAGGGAGAAGAGAGATCCGTATCCGTGACTTTTTTGGCGGATCTTTCAATACATAGATGAAATTCTATATAGGTGATATTGTATTCACTGTAAAAACTCTTAATGTATGTATTTGTAAAACCAAAAAACCGAAACTTTTTTTCTGGCCAACGTCAAAATGAAAAAAAAAATTGCGTTCTCATTCAAATGACATCAAATGTAGTTAGTTTGTATGGAGAAACAATTTTTTCCTTCATTTTCTGTGATTAGCCCAGACGAAAAGCGTGTTGTTATAATGTACTAATAGCACTCAGAGGTTTTCAGTAAATTTAAAATAACCATGAATAATGGTATTAGGTAGCCTATGAAAAATATTTGAATTCTACTCAGATTACTTTTAATTCTTAAAACAAATATTTGGCACCTGTATTGCAATCCATTTATCGTACACCACTAAATTCAACAAGCAGATCGTAGGGAACTGAAAGAGCTATCTTTGTTGTGTATAATGAGTTCAAATCAAAAATTCTTTGTAATTAAGCTTATGAAAACAATGCAAATATTTAATAATCAATCGGCCAAAGCGTCAATTGGCGACAACTATCAAGGTCACGGGCTCGGGAATTGAGTAAGAAACTCAAAATCCGATCCGTAATCCGTTTGCCGCGGATCTTGACACCAAATATCCGTATTAGGATCCGTATCCCGGATATTACTTTGTTACACGATCCGGCCACTCAGTAATAAGAGTAAAGAATGATACTTTCCATCTGTAACAAGTGAATCGGTGGTCAAGGATAAGAATACGGAGTGCCCCCGCTGATATTCACCCTTTTGGAGTTCGTAAGAGCGAAAAGGGACAAACACGAAGGAAAACACACTGCAAAGAAAGGGAAAAACTCGATACAAACCCTATCCCAACCCCCGTCTGGCTGGGTGGTATAGTACCCAAAACCTTTTGGAGAGGCCTATGTCTTGATGGACTATTAAGGCTAATGGAGTGTAAATTTTGGAGTACAAAAAAAAAGTTATTACCATGGTCCGCTTTTCCATTTTTTCTGTTTTATCGCATTTTTTTCGGGGTAGAGTTCATGCCAAAGACGGGCATTCCGTCAACGAGGATGGAACACATATTTGACCAACAGGATCAAAGAGAGGCTTGGGATACCGGAAAACAATCGCAATTGGGGTGTAAGTAATTTTTTTAAATTTAGTAATTGTTTTTTTAATAATTAAATGAAATCATGGGGTAAATCGATTCAAAACCCATGGTTCGAATTAAGAAATTTTGAAATCAAAGGCACTACGAGCCAAAGAAAAATGTTGAAAAAAAACGGAAAAAATTTTCCCTTTTTTTATTTTTTATTTTTATAATCTTTAGTATGAGTACTGTACGTTTGGGACGTGAACCAACAAACTTAATTTTTATAAAATTTTAAACTTTGAAGACCTGTAATTGCTTTCTAATACTATTTACCCTTATCTTTGATTTAGCTGTGAGTTTCCAAGAAAAAAAAAAAAAATAATTTTGTCCTTTCCCCGGAACGGTTTTAAATAGGAAAGTAGGCGGTACAGTCGTGTACTCAACGTGTTCGCCAGTCCGATACAAAACGACGGCGGGGTTCATATGGCCCCTCAAACACGCCTTCGAGACCCACTCGATTATTGTACTATCAAGTAAGTTAATTAAAAGCTAAAAAATTGTTATTATTTGAACGAAAGATTACGTAATTAATATAGTTATAGTTCGTGACGTAATTTATAGTAGTTAATTTTTTTTTTTTTTTGTTTTTTTAAAAAAGACAACTCCCGCATTGGGAAATTTAATCCTGTGTCGCGGGGGACTTTACAAACATACATGAAACGGACACAAAGAACACCCAGACTCAGAACAACAATTTGTGGATCACACAAAGTGTCGTCCCATGTGGGTTTGAAACCCAAAACCCACTCGGCGCAGTAGGAAGCGGCGTGGCGACCCCTTAAACCACTGCGCCATCCGTGCAGTCAAAATTAGTTAATATTTGTTAGTTTTATTTACAAAATGAGACGACACGTCACGGATAGCGTGGTGGTTGTTGTGTTGGGGTGAGTTGTTGTGAAGATGGGATAACAGTTTGTGTGAGCCACAAATTTTGTTCTGAGTCAGTGTTATTGAAACTTAATATTTGTTAGCTAATAAAACAGAACAAATAGTAAGTACCTAAAAAGTATGCAAAATAAGAAATTGCTTCTACTTAAAATTTTCACGCTTCACCTATGCAGTTTCTTTGGCCGAGGGATATAAAAGTACCATATTATGTCATCCCTCCTCCTTCCACCGTCGCACATGGACACCTACAACTCGAGAGACCATAAGTCCATTGTCACCCCTTGTGTCGCCCCTCTCTAGAGTTTGGTTTAGTCCGGTCTCTCTTACTCAACAGTAAAAATCAACGAAGAACTGACCCGTATATACCGAGGCATGGTTTTTCACCCACTATCACTACTTTCAGGCTTAACAGGAGCCGGAATATATTTTTTCGTCACGTTGTCCATTCTGTCACATCCCCACATCAATTTTGCAACGCTAATAATATTTTTGTACTAATTTTTTACAGAGACATGACAACACAAATGGCTGGTTTAAGTAGCCCCACTCAACTTTGGGGGTGGGTTCAGTGGCACCTAAATATGGACAACTAGTGACGCCCTCTATCGGCGCTAACTTGGACCTTCATACATTTTTAAGCTTGTACGTGTAAAATAAAATATTTTTGTAAATAAAATGTAATATTCAAGAAATTTGTCTTATTTTGCGTAAACCATTTAAGTGTATATGAATTTTGTTTCTAAACATTAGCCGCAGCAGGTAATAAGAAAATATAAATTTAAAAACAGCACTCTAATTCTCACTATGCGCTTTTCAAAACGGTTGACGTCTGAAAGTTGTATACACGCTATTCAGCGTGAGAACTTTTCATATCGCGATACAGGATTAGCAGTTACTCTGTAGTTCAGTGTATCTTTGTTAGATGGCACTGAAGTATGTTTTATATAACCGTTGAAAAAAAATACAAGTCTTAGATGAAAACGCTACAAAGACAGAATAAGAATAAATCGGTGTGCGGATCAAACCCACAACACTGAGCGCAATGGGAAGCGGCGAGGTGTCCACCTAACGACTACGCCATCTGTGCACTCCAAATTAGGTCAATATTTAATGTTCTTGCAAAAAATTTTATTAATTATACCCATAACCCAACTTCTAACGTACAAACTACACTAGCATGGGACTGCATTGGAGTTATGGTACTTATGTGCAACCCACACTATTGTATTCAATTGTTATAGGATTCTTACTAAGAGTAGCGCAGATATCTACATAGGAGTAGGCCCATATATGTAAAAGTAAAAGCTAACTATATGCTATAGATAGATAGCTAACTCTTTCTAGACTTCTTCTCTTACAAGAAAAAAGAACATAACTATAGAACAATTTGTATACATTTGAATGAGTCTTATAATCTAGAGACAGTTAAGTACACAAAGAAAGTAAAACTAGGCGTTTAAAATAGTTGTACAATTGTCGGCCTTAGCGTGATGTGCGATTTCTTCCACGCAACCGCTGAATGGAGAAGGAAATTAAGGATGGCATGGGGAGTTACGTTACGTTACAGTACGATACCATAGTACAATACAAGATATAAGACTAACAAACTCATATAATTACTTACATAGCACACTGAATACACACATACAGTATTCTATTATATACTAGCTTATCCAACAGACACTCCCAATGTGCCAGAAGGATACATTTTATTTTTGGTCTCATAATTTCTTTCGTGGTATAGTAGGCCAAAACCTCCTTTCTAAGGAGAGGCCTATGTCCAGCAGTGGACGAGTAAAGGCTGTAGATGATGATGATGAATTTATTTCGATAATATGTATAACTAAATAAGAAATACATAAAAAATATTATATTAACGTAATATAACAACTATACTACCGAGAAAAAAACCGGTGAGGTACGAGTCGAACTCGTGCGCCGAGGGTTCCGTACCTACCCAGATTTTACGTAGATTTTCGCGAAAATTTGTAAGTACCAATTTTTTTTTTTGTTTTTGAATTATTCCTTTATTTGTGCTGTAAGACATTTCTTTTTGCCAAATTTCGTGATTCTATTAGAACTACCATATAGATTTTCGAGGGCACTTCCGGTTGACCTAGAATTGACAATTTTGGTTAAAAGCAAGGTCTTGTGGCACAAGTAAAAAAAAATTCTGAAAAAAAAAAAAGTTAAAAATTAAGGTAAATTTTGGTACTTACAAGTTTTCGCGAAAATCGAAATTTGCCCATATCTTTTTATCGTGTTGACTCAGGACCTTGATTTTTATAGACCTCAGTATCTGGTATAAATTTCAACTTGCTAGGTCTACCCGTTCCTGAGAAAATCGGTGGTGACACATGGACAGACGGACAGGAAAGTGATCTTATAAGGGTTCCTTTTTACCTTTTGAGGTACGGAACCCGAATTATTGTTGTAAGAAGGGTTAAAAGTACATAAAAGTAGGTGAGTACATGATTGTCACCTTGTAAAATTATAGTCAGTAGGTAATACAGGCGCAGCAGTAAAAGATTTTGTAATTGCGTGGAAATCCTAGCACCCAGGTGCATTGCCATATACTGGGTCTATTTACGAATCTAACCTATCGAGAGTTACATTTAAAATTTTAATCGAAGCATTGGGGAAGAGCTAGAAGGAGGTAATTTACATACAAACGATAATATAAGTACGTAAAGATTACTATTACAAAGTATTGCACAGTGATTCAGTAATCAAAACCGGTTTATTAAGCAGAAAATGTAAATGTATCAAGTTATTATAATGTTGCAACATGTTTTAGTCCTAACCTTTACTGTAGTATGTTAGAAGCTTAATACATAGCTATATTAGTGTCTAAGCTTTTTAAACCATAAAAATTTACCCAGCCGAGACCTAGATACAGCAAAAATTTAAAAGTCAAAAAGAAATTCTAGAAATGAAATGCATCGCCTATATCTATTTATTATTCTATAATTCTTGTTACGAATATAAATCAACTAGAGATAAATTTTAACAGAAGAATTATGTATATCTGTACCTGTAAAAAAAGAATTTTATTATATTACATTATTAAAAAAATATTCAATAATAAAATCCAGTTCATTCCTCAAGCGGAGAATATAAATGTATCAAGTTATCACAATGTAGTAAACATGTTTTAATCGTAACAATAATATAGTTTATTATGTTAAAATGGCAAAGGTCACCACATTATCTATATTCTTTACTGCGGGAATGCCGGACCAAAATAGGTATAATGCATTTTGAAGAACATTTTAAGATCATCCGTTTCCAGCTGTTTGACCCACGAAAATCCTTTACGGGCCCGACGTTATTTCACATTATGACCTAAGGGTCATAATGTGAAATAACGTTTAACATTCGTCAACGATTAATCTACAAAATGAGTAAATAATTATGTAAATACTTCCAGTTCGAAACATGATTTTAAATGTTCTTTTTCTAATGAATGAACATAAGAAGGTGCGGGCTCTTCTTAACGGAATGTAGCGGAATCATCACAAATATGATACTTTATGTATTATGGTATATATGTATGTGTATATATATAACACAATATATATGAATATGAATGTATGTATTCTTGTATGTATACGTTGGTATTTATATATTATTTCATTGCTTTTGGTCAGTATTGCTATCATTACTTCTTTTATGTCCACTTTATAATTCTCAACCAAAGGGTAGTGCACCTCCACACTCATTTCCACACCACCCTAAGGTAGACTGGTAGAGAATGCCTATGGCATTAAGTCCGCCATTGTACTTGTGTGCAGAAAGTTGATAAATAAATAAATAAATAAGAAGCGAAAACAATTGTCTTATGCGACTTGTTTTTCCAGAATTGACGCGTCCAACATAATAACTTTTCAGCTATGTTTTATTAGCATAGACACTAGTAAGTATAGTTATTTCTATTAAGTAGGTAAATTTTATACACCTAGCAGGAGTAAGATATTGGCGTAAGGAATCCCACTGTCAGTATATGTCCTTAATAAACATTTTTATACTACATACTAGATAAAGTCGTCACAGTATAAATAAGTTTTACCGAGACGGACGTGTGCTTGTCTTCGTTGTGATAGCAGAGTGTCGTACCTACTGTGAACGTGTTAAAATAGCTTACTATTTTGCATTTTTCAAAATCGTCTAAAATACATACTACTATGGATGTAAAGGCTAGAGGGAATATTTTGGGCAGTAAGTTCATTAATTTTTTTAGTTAATGTAAAATTAACAAATTCGCGTTTCGAATTGATAAATCAAAATTCAACACAACTATGTAAAACCAAAATAACTGTGTTTTGATTTTAATTTGGGCAAAGGCGCAACACTTAGCGTCCTTTCAGCCCCTCCCCTCAGAAACAGGGGGGTAGGTTTGGGTTCCTGTAACCCGTAACCACTCGGTGAAGAGCTACGAAAGAACTGCTTACGGGGTATCTAACGGGCCCAAGTACTCAATATCTAAAACTATTATTTGGAAATATTCCCTAGCACACATCATCTTGTCCCTGTGGTGACGGATTTAGAATACGTAGTGTCACCACCCCTATTCATCCCATGGGTGTCGTAACAGCCGACTAACGGGGCAAACTACGCAGGACAACAGCATTGCAAAGAGAAGGAAAACTTGAAACAAACCCTATACCAACCCGTCTGGCCAGCGTGGTATAATAGACCAAACCCACACTCATCTTATTTTTTAATGTCTTAATGCACAAGTTGTACGTACACAGGCGGACTTAATACCCAGGGCATTCTTTGCCAGTCGATCTTTACTTTGTCACTGTTCACTATAAGATTTTTCTTAAGACTCTCACAAAGAAATGTGTTGCGATACTTCCATCCAATATTATTTCGAATTGAACGGTCCACTCAGAGCCAGTAAATGCAAGAACCAACAAAAGTGGTAGTCAATCAATTCTTTGGCAGATATTGTCCCAGCCCGATACATTCTCGTGGTGCTCGGTTCCATTGGCTTGGCTATCGTGTATGGGTTGAAGGTGAATCTCTCCGTTGCCATGGTCGGTATGCTGAACCACACGGCTCTGAAGCACAATAATCTTGGAAATGGCAGCTTGCAGAATGCTACTAATAAAGCGACTATCGACTCCCCTGTAAGTACTATACCATGAAGTTTATATGTTTACATTATAATCCTCATGATAACAATCAGTAGATATAAGCTGAAACGTGGTCTCTGTATGATAGGTTTTGTTTTAACCAAGATAACGAGTTTAAACAAAAACAACTAAGGATTATTGTGATGTGATTTCAGTAACAGTGAGTATTTATAGAATTTTAAATATTTCTAGTAGTAGATTTGTTAGAGCTTTTTACCTATCTACAATGCAAAAAAAAGACTACTAACTACTACTAATCTATAAATATAAAAATGTTAAGTTGGTTTGTGTACGCTTCAAAAACTCATTAAGGTCTGTACAAAGCCGGCTTGCTCTGACCATGCGAGACATCGCTGTATACTATACTCCAGCTCCCAGTGCTACTTACATGTTTTTTTTTGTTTTATTTATTATTTAACAAATCTGAAATAAATATAAGTACACCGCTCAAATAGTTGTTCACTTAATGTTACCTACATTAAGTGAACAACTATTTGAGCGGTGAATAACAACAAAAGCTTTGGGTGTCGCGATGTTTTTATAACTATGTAAGTATACTCGTATTATGTACAATGCGAAAAATATTGACGTGAAAATTGTAACGCAATCTAACGATATCATCATCATCAGCCTACCGCAGTACACTGCTGGACATAGGCCTCCTCCTCCTCCTATTGCCCGCTGTTCCGATCGATTTTCGACTTCTCGCATTAAGCTCCTACCAGCCATCTTACGCAAATCGTCACTACACGTGGCCTGTCTTTTATTCACCTCGTCCTCGAAGTTGTTTCTACCTAACTGCAATGTCTGCCCGAGGTGTACATATTTTTGAACAACTTCCAGAAAGACCCCGTGTACCGCAATTGGTTCCGGTTGTACATGTTCATTGAACATGTTAGCCAGCCAGGTTATTCAGCATCTGTTGAAGATTCTACAGTGTCTTTGCCATGATGATCTTGAACATGTCCTCCATTGCATTTGTGAACAATTTTGGGGAGATAACGTCCCCTTGTCTCACCCCTCGATGCAATGGTATAGGCATTGATTGCTGATTCTGTACTTGGACGGATATAGTGGCGGCTTCGTGGAGACATTTCATCACTTAGATGTACCGCCAATCTATCTGGCAACGCTACAGGGACTCCAACACAGACCAGATGTAGACTGAGTCATAGTCCACGAATGCTAGGCACAGGGGCTGATTATATTCTTGTATTATTAAACTAAAGAATAGCATAAACAATAAGAAAAAAAAAAAAAAAAGAAAGAACAAAATTGTGTGACACGAGGTATTATTACAGAGTGCTGGATTTTTGTACGGTTAAAAGCAATACCTTTACTTTTGATTTAAAAGTATTACAACTCACAAGGTTGCACTATACCGGAATCCTCCTCGGGAATAGGAGCCGAGCATCAATGTTGCAAATTGAAAATTTACCCCTTTTGAGAGGCGCAGACGAAGTTGCGTGGGTGAATAATAAATATTTACTTTTACTTAACTTCGTTCTATCACTCTGTCGTCTTCGGAAATCCGACAGTCTTTCCTGTCCCTTAACACTACGTCCTCCTACCTTGTCTTCCGTCTGCCTCTTGTCTGGATCTGATACAAAAAAATGCTTAAGATATGTAAACTATTTATTTTTTTGAAGCATGCTTTCTAATTCTACTAATTAATAATTCTAATTCAGTTATTTCTTAGTTCTACCATACGAGTAGTATGTCGTATTCCACACTTACTTCTTCATACAGCAAAACAAGATAGTATAATTAGAAATGAAATAGTTACATTTTAATACTTATTTAAGCTAGTTACTGCATGTAGTCGGGCTCCGTCTGTGGGCTTCCTCCGTAGTGAAGTATTTGCTGATATGGCAATATTTATTCTTGTCTATTTCTTTAATTTCAGGATCAGGATGGACCCTTTATATGGAGTTCGGAAGTACAAGGAGTTATACTTAGTTGTTACTTTTGGGGATATTTCGTCTCACAAATACCTGGTGGGGTATTTAAATGCCAAGTTATTATTTATACCACATATTACACGACATAACTCCACAATTGAATACAATTTTTTTCAAATTTATATTACACGTAGCACAAAATATATCGCACAAAAACTCTCTTTCACCAGAAAGGGAGTATTTTCATTGAATTTAAGTTGTTGTCGTTTTTAAGCCGACAATTGTGTAGGAAGTGTAGTTTTGTGGTCCAGCCGGGTTAGTCTACTGGCTAGTGGTCCAGAGTGCTAAGCCGGGGGTTCAATTCCCACCCAAGATAAATAATTGTTCGATGAACACCATCATTTGTTCTATATCTGGGTGTAATTCATTTCTAACAAGTATGTGTTTAAAAATATTTACGTATGTTTATCAGCAGCCTGGTTAGCATAGCGCAGGTTTTATAAATTTTGAAATCAGACGGCCAATTGTGAGATATGAGGTGTGTGATAAAAAGTGCTAAATTATATTCGATACTTATAAACGATGGGAGTTTCCTATTTTTCTAAAAAAGACAACACCCGCACTAGGAATATATCCTAAGTCGCGGGGAACTTTACAAACATTTATGAAACAGACACAAAGAACACCTAAAATCAGAACAACAATTCGAAACACACATTCAAACAGTAGCAAATGGCGAGGTGACCTCTTAAACCACAACGCCATCCATTTTTTCCAATTAGGTGGTCGAGTGGCGGAGTTGTTTTCAGCGAAATGGGTGATGTTCCTTAGCGTGGCAATCAACGTGCTATGTACTCTACTGACACCCGTGATGACTGAGCTGCATTACACCGCTCTCGTGTGCATGCGAGTTTTGGAGGGCATCGGTGGAGTAAGTCACTTTTTGAGATATTCTTTTTACATTTTCAAAGATTGCTACTAATTTAATATTAGTACTTAGTAGATAGGTACTTATCGCTAATTATGAGAAGTATTTACAATTTAGAAGCTTATTTTTATGATATGGGTGCCAAACCTGATGGTAATTAAATACCGCCGCTCATGAACCCTTGAAACTCACAAATGAACAGGCCCCGCCGAGATATGAACTCGGAACGCTGGATTCAGAGTCTACAGGACTAACCATTACACCTTGGAACCATTAAATATTATTACAGAATGATCTTCACTTCCCACAATCCTTATTTTTCTCTCCTTTTGTTCCATTTTAATAATTATTATTATACAGATAATATAATCCAAATTTTTGGCACATTTTTGTACTTGTGTGTGTGACATTAATTAATCATAATAAGTACGTAAAAAATTCGTAACGAAATTTTCTCAAAAATTAAAAAGTTTTGCTCGCAGGGAAATGTAGAAGTTGAGGGCTAAAAACTTTAAACAATATTTTTTTATAAGTTTACATAAAGTTATAGAAATTTAGCTGTAATATTTATGGAACACTATATAAACATACTTCACGTTATTCTGGTTAAAAATATAAAACAAAACAGTTAAAACTACTTAACCTAATTAACAAAATTCGACTATCGTTATTGACCTTACATTATTACCAACACAGTGTCACATCATTTACTTTTTGTCATTGTCATTGTTTATTATTTATGGAATATACTAGATAGTAAATACTTTAATTAATAAAACATCTCACTACTGATACAACAGTATTTAAAATTTAAAGTAAAAAGTAAACTATTTAAAATAAAATTGTTGATGGAAAATGATAAATGCATTTTTAAATCTAAGATACTAACGGTACGTTAATTTTATACTTTTTTATACTTTATGGTTGAAGTGACTACCGCGGCCCATGAACTTTGAGTTCCCCTCCACCAGAATCAGAATGAGGGAAAGGTTTGGGTTCATCACTCACTCAGTTAAAAGCATGGAAAGAATTTGTTGAACATCGGTTGTCTGTGAGACCGTGGTAATCACACCGGTCGAGACGGTAGGTGTGTGCCGTAGCATGACTCTCCAAGCTGTGATTGTGTTTTAAAACAAATTTTTCAAAAAAAGTAATTCTTTTCTTCATTGACAAGTGTCACTATCTTATTTACTGTTTTCATTAATGTTTCGAAGACGCCCTTGGCATGAAAAAACTCTATCCTAAAATAGAGGAAAAAAGTTAACACTTAATTCTCAAACTAGCTTTATTATGTCCTAACTAGCACCCGCCCCGTCGTCGCACGAGTGCAATGAATTACCAATCTTTGGGATTCTGGGATTTTCTCTACTATAATATTGTTGCATGTTAGTGTTCGTTGATTCGGAATAATAAGCCTTCTGACGACTAAAGAGAATGATCGCCGAGGTCGCTGGGTTACACTTACGAGTATATTCACTTCGATCGCTTCGTTGTTTATCGCACTGTAGCTCGAACTGAACTGACTCCCACGAAGACGGGTCCGCATTTATAATACTCGTAAAGGAACATTAAACAAGACAATAGCGCGACAATCCATTTTCGATTGTATGCGTATTGGTATAGAACTTATTGTTTTGTGGCAACCTGCATAATCATTAAACGTTTCCCGGAATTGCGCGGTTAATCGAACTTTCGCGAAGTTTCGTGACAATATGCATGTACAAATTCTCAACCCTATTTTATAACAACCCCATTGAATCCCGCAAAGGGCAAGTTTTGAAAAGTAAAAAAATAGGTGTCTAATTATTATTACTTTTTTATAGAGTATAATATAATTATACTGACAGTTTGGTATCAATAGGTTAAGAAAATAGTTCCTCATCAAAAAATTCACCCTTTTAATATAGAGTATTTACTATGAGTTTGAAAAGGCAACTATCAAAAATAACGCAGTTTCATATAAATTTCCAACCTCCATTTTGCACCATTAGGAGTTGAATTTTTGAAAATCCTTTCTTAGTGCACACCTACATCGTCTGAGGAACATTTATGTACATTAGTGCAATTTTATGCTTCTAGACCCAGTGGTTTCAGCTGTGCGTTGATCGATCAGTCAGTGAATCAATCTGTCAGTTTATTCTTTTATAGATATACTCGTATTATAGATTTTTGCCCAACATTATGTGACTTAATTTACTCAAGTTATTTTTGGTACTACATTACTGTTTTTTTACCTATATTTTTTGTCTAGGGTGTGACATTCCCAGGAATGAATGTCCTGCTATCGAAGTGGTCACCGCCAGCAGAACGAATTACCATGACTGCGTTAGTTTACACAGGAACTTCACTGGGCACCGTTATATCCATGTTAATGACTGGAATACTTACTGATAAAGTTGGTGAGTGTACACGCAAATTGTTCGTCAGTTAACTGCAGTTTATCTAAGTAATTCACTTTTTCTTTACCAGGTTGGGAAAGTTCATTTTATGTAATGGGAGCTCTATCGGTAATTTGGTGCGTTCTGTGGGTTGTGTTAATACAAGATTCACCTGAAAAGCAACCGTTGATCAGCATCGCGGAGAGAAAAATGATCATCACCTCGCTAAGAGGAAATTCTGCAAGAAGAGATCAAAAGGTAATATCCAGCTGGTAACACCACAGTACCTTAGGAAGCTGCTTATACCTTGGTCTTCTTTAGAGAGGAAGTTCTAAACCAGTCGGATGGTTTTAATTCACGAGGGGCCTTTTGATCTAGTGGTTAGTAAACCTGACTGCTTAGCCGGAGGTCATGGGTTCGATCCTCACACAGGAAAAATAATTGTGTGATGAGCACAACCATTTGTTCTGTGTCTGATTGTAATTTATCTAAAATTTGTTTATGTTCAACAATTTAATATTTAAGTTTGTTTATCAGCAGTCTGGTTACCATAGTACAAGCTCTGCCAAGTTAAGGATCAGACTGCCGTATGCCATGTGTGAGATGTGTGAAGTTATTATTATTATTAATTCATGAATTAATAGCGCATAGCATAATCATAATGATTAATGTTACAGAAAATACCGGTTCCTTGGTGCGCTGTGTTCACTTCACCAGCCTTTATCGCGATTCTGGTGGCACATACTTGTTCTACCTGGGGTTGGTACCTACTTCTTCTCGACTTGCCCCTTTACATGAAGCAGGTTCTTCATTTCAATATAACTCAGGTGAGTACAAGCTTATACCATATCACTCATACACTGAGAAGTCATCCCTTCTCTTATTTTTCTTCTCATCTATATGAATGAAAATATTTGTCATCTATGCATTACAAAACCATTGATTAGATTGTGATGATACTTTGGTAAGGTGCAGTGCCAGATTAAAATAGAGAGATCTGTAGCAAATTCTATCAAGGGGCCCTTTTGTAGTTATGGTATTCGTCATCATCATCAACGTAATATAGTAGTCTGCTGGACATAGGCCTCTCCTTAGGAAGGAGGTTTTTGGCTGCTATACCACCACATACAAACCATACTATATTTACCACATATCAAGTCTTTGTATATGTGGCAGTAATCTGTTACGCCGACGACACTTTGGTTACAGCCTGTGGGATGAACTTTCAAAGGGCGGCGTGCTTGGCCACCAGGTGTGTCTCTTTGGTGGTCGGGAACTGGGGTTATTGGTGACCTTGGATAAGACGGAGGCCTTCTAATTTCCACCTCCTGGTACCTCGATCGCTGTCAACTCGGATGCAAGTGCTAGCTGAAGTATATCGGCGGACGGCTAAGTTTGGCGGGCGGAGAGCGGCAGTAGGCCCCTTTTTTTTCTTTTTTTTTTCCTTGCGGAAATCCCCTCGAATACCACCTGTCGGTGTCATGTCGGACTCGAACTGACTAAAACCGCACGCCGTCTCGGGTACTAATAGCCGGGGAACCAGGTATACCCTAGAAAGGAAGTCCCTGGTGCCCCGACATACCTCGGGTCATCTACAGACGAATAGACGCCCCCCCCCCCCCCGTGTGGGAACCCCATGTTCCCTGTGCTCCCTGGAAGCGAGCGCGCTTTGCAACGCGCTCGCCGCCACCCCGGCCTGCTTCTGCTAGGGTGACAGATGGCCTCACCTGTCACCCCCAGGCCTGGCAGTAGGCCCCTCCCCGAAGCGGTACGTGATTGGCGTGAAGCCTCTCGCTGAGCCATTATGGCTCGTTGGTCGTCCCGGCTGGAGGTCCCACGTGCTGGCTTTTGCCGCCATAGAGACACTCCACCAGGTCATCCAGCCACCTGGAGTGGGCAAGGCGTTAGCACGGGACCCTTTCCTTCCGACTGACGCAGCTCCTTTCCGAGCACGGCTGATTCTGCACTCCGTCGTAAGGAGGGAATTGAACCCCGCCTGTCATCAGAGAACTCGGGTCAGAACAACTTTGGAAATTTGCCCGACTTCGGCATCGCAGCGTTGGGTCGCAGTGCAAAACATGATTTCTGGTGCAACCAACGCTCACTTTTAGAATGCACTAAAAGTTTAAATTATAGTTGGACATTTGGATGCAACTCTTTCGTGATAGGAATTGTGGCTATATTGATTAAAAAAAATATTTTCACACTTCCATCGAAATAAGTATCTGCGCGCACCAACGCTTTCTTACGGTCAGAAAGCGTTGGTGCGCGAGGCCCATAGCATTTGGTACTCTTGCTATGTGGCTAATCCGCCACTGCTAATTGGATGCCCGCGAGAGTTCTTATAGGTACTTTACATGGAATTGCAAAACATGTCGGACGCAGCTACTTAATAATAAATATCCACAGACAGTAGGTAAATATTAGCGCACTAAATTATATTTTATACTATCTCAAGCAACCATGTAACGTCTCTAATGCAGTAGTTATTGCCCTTAATTCGTAAGTATTTCAAACAGTGCATACATAGTAATTGTACCTACATAATTATTCACCGAGAGACTATTGTTGGACTTATGAACTTCATGTTTATTCAATTTCAGAACACATTATCTACTGCTTTACCTTTCCTGACTCTATGGCTCTTTACCATATTTCTGGGCAAAACTTTGGACTGGTTGCGCGGCAAAGCCATAATTACCACAACGACTGCTAGAAAGATCGCCAGTTTCATAGGTATATTATTTAGAGTAGATTTTTTAAAATTAAATTACTGAATTTTAAGTTTAAAATACAGTTCTAGATGTTCCTTATTTCGTATTTATTATTTCAATTTAAAAACAACTTTCGCAATTAATGCATTTTTGCATTCGCTGAAACCACGATACAAATAGTACGGTGCGTTATCGTGGTGATAGAGGGCATTGCTTCGAGGACGCTTTTCGCGAGCTTTTCTACTTTTTCTACTTTTCTACGACACTGGGTAAGCAAGTGTTGACGTACCAATCTGCACTCACTGTTCTTTGATCTTACAGGGATACTGTAGTGTAATGTCCTGATTTGCCAAAAAAAGAAGCAACCATTTTTACCAATGCTTTGACTTTTCTTAACTTTCGTTGTAGGAAGCTAGATACGTTGGCGTAGATGGATTATTTTTTTGTATGCGATCTTCATGTAAAGTCTTAAATCATTTGAACTAAATCTTTACTTTTGTGTTTATAGCGTCAGTATGCCCGTCTGTCTGCTTGTTCGCCCTGTGTTTCATCGAAAACAACCGTGCAGCTGCGGTGGCTATCATGACCATCGGAATTACATCTACCGGCGGCCTGTTCTGCGGTTTCCTCGCTAACCACATCGATATTGCTCCTAACTTTGCTGGTGAACTTTTTACATAATTGTTCTTCAGTATTAAGATTGCTAACCAAGCATAAAAAGAAATGATAGCTACGTTTCAGCTGTCCTGAGTTGATATAGAATTTTTTTGAACATTAATTAACTTTTATTTTTAGTGCTTCGTTCATCATCATCATCATCAACAGCCTTTAATAGTCCACTGCTGGACTATTAAAGGCTTCTCTTTAGAAAAGACGTTTAATTTACTTTTATTTTTTAGTGCTTCGTTCAATTGCACATTATTTTAGGAAAAGTAATTTTAGTGTTAAGGTTGAAATATTTATAGACTGATTGGTTAATATTAATAAAATTGAATTAATTGAAATTTAATTAACAAGGTTGTAAGTTTAAAAAGGTAGGTTGATTTAAGCAGTAAATCTTTTGTCATTTTACCAGGTACACTAATGGCCCTTACCAATACAGTGGCATCAATCCCCGGCATAGTAGTACCGATATTCGTGGGAGCCATAACGCATCACAATGTAAGTTCTTACGAAGATATTTTTTTTATCGAACTAATTTAGCATCGTCCAATACTTGTATTTAATAGTCTGGAATGTTCTGTTCTTTTTGACACTAAATTAAAGAAGTCAAGTCCCTAGTCTACCCTATTTAAAAAAAAGAGACGAGAAAAATAAGAGACGAAGAAGTATAATCTTTTGTCGTTTCTTATTCTTCTTTTTTAAGATCACTTTTTCACTATGATGTAGTAATTTTTCGGTCATCGCTTTTACTTTAAGTTATATTGTGACAGGACAACAACGGTTGGCGACATTTCACTTATAAATCAAGTCGAATACTTAGGAGTATTTTAACATACTCAGCAATACTCTGAAAACATCTAAATGGAAAGGTTTAAACACAAGCGATTAACTTGTGGGGTAAAAGTATCCCAACATCTCCTCATAATGTATGTATGATAAACGTACGATAATTTAACGCGATCGTGTAATAGGCAAATGCATCTGGTAGCACTTGAATTGCCCTTTATTTCAAAAGAAGGTGATATTGAGTTAATTAAAATCCTGAACTTCTCGTTACAGCAAACAATACATGAATGGCGGACAATATTCTACGTGACAATAGGGATGTACGCTATAGGCATCACCACCTACTTAGCTTTCGGATCTAGTGAAGAGCAACCCTGGAACAAGGTGACTGTGGATAATGAGGTTGAGACAAAACCACTGAATGAAGAAAAGAAGACTGATGTTTGAGCTTATCTGCTATTAATGTCGTTATTATAAGGGGTGATTTTTTATGACAATGGAAGATATCTAAGGCATAGTGACAAAGGCTAATTCTCGCTCTGAAAGGAGCTTGCAAAATGTATACTTATTTGGTACACATAAAGATCATATGATCCGTGTCGTGACAGATTAAGAATACGGAGTATCACCACCCCTATTCATGCCGTGGGTGTCGTAAGAGCCGACTAAGGGAGCAAACTACGCAGAACAACAGCACTGCAAAGAGAAGGAGAACTTAACACAAACCCGTCTGGCCAGCGTGGTATAGTAGGCCATAACCTCCTTTCTAAGGAGAGACCTATGTCCAGCAGTGGTAAAGGCAGGCAAAAGCAGTGTTAAAGGCTGTTCATGATGATGATGATGACTAAATTTAAATTTAAGAAATATAAAAATTCATAACAATTGCTTTTGCGGGATTTGCACAATTTCACGTAGGTAGGTGGCTAGGAATCACGCATGTACAGTCCGCATGGCCTAAGCTGAGCGTTGCATTTGTATTAGTGATCACAAAAAGTAGTCAGACATAAAACTTTTTAAAATTAATTTTATTATGTTTTAGGTAGGTACATAGCATAAGTAGGAGAGGTATTCTAGTTTAAAATTTAAAAAAACTCTAAATTACCAAAACCAGCTATGATAATTATGTATAACCAATAAGCAGGTGTGACTCAGAAGTCAGAGATCAATAAATAAAATTCAAATATAATCATCGTCATCATTTTGATTATCACTCTCGTGTTCATTTTCATTCCAGTCTGATGTGTCGTTTGTGTTAATAATTAATCGTTCCGTTAAATCATCAAGAAAGTCGTCGTGATCATGAATTTTTTTCTTCTTTTATTGCGTGATAACATACATTTTTCCATTTTGTACAGTGATAGTGTCAACTTTTTCTTTCGCTAACCTCATTATTGTATCCATATTTATTGACACGTTTTCTTTCGCCACGTATCCTTTTATAATTGCCCTTATATTTTCAATTGGGTTGAAAGCCGTCTGTAGGGTGGTAGACGAAGGGCGCTGTGACCATATTCTCTAAGTAAAGTGTCAATTTTATATTCAATAAAGCTTTATTTGTTTTACAATCGCAAGTGATAAGAGTATTTAAGCATCGTTGTAGAGTGATCGATATTGCGATACTTGAGCCAGTCAATCATATTATGTTTACGACTATTTTAGTTGGGAGCGGGATTTTCTAACGATTTGTGGTAAGAAGCTTTGTCCACCACCACAACGCTATTCGGCTTCTGGAATTAATTGCGTTTGTAACTATTTCATGTCGTTTTCTCCATTCATATTGTTATGGTAATCACCATTTTTTTTAATTGCTTTGAACATCATCAGAGCATTTAGTATAAAACCGACCTATCCGGCGGCATGAACTAGTCGTATTATTAAACGATTTCCTTTAGAAATTGGTTTCTTCAAACCAGAAGTGCTGCTATCTGAATAAGATTTCGAAAAAGTGTGAGCCGATCTATAATTATGTTGCGTCGGTATAAACGACTGGCCGGCCCTGAATGCGATATTCGGAAATTTAAAAAAATTATACGTAGATAACGTATCTCATGTTTTCCCATTACAATTTTTCTATTATCTTCTGTCCTTTTTCATTTAAATCCTAAAAGAGACACTTCTTTACGCAATGACTAAATTGAACCTGGATAGTTTAGGAATAAACTATCTAAGTTCAATTCAATCATTGCCTCTTTAATTTTTCATGTTTTCGCTTAATAGTTGGCATCTCTTTATCAGGGCCTCAATTCTGCTATTTTATGTTTACGCCAAGCCACTGTCATACCACTGACACGCTATTGAGATGCCATCGAGTGGCCATTGGCATCGGTATAAATATCGGTAGTTGAAAATATATTACGTTTTTGGAGGAAATGTTTTTTTTATTTTTTTATTATAATAAATTATAAAAATAAATAAATCATTTCCTCATAATTTGAAAACATATTACGTTTTTTGAGGATTTTTTTTTTATTTTTTATTTTTTAATAATTTATTACTTTTTTTTATAATTTTTATATTTTTTTTTATAATTTTTTTTTTTTTTTTTTTTTTTTTCCTGCATCTGGTCTTCTTCGGAGATTTAAATTTAAATTTGCTTCAAAAAGCAGTATAAACCGGTTTAAACCAAACAAAAGATGCATTGCGCTCTAGGCCGACATCACACCTTTGTTCACTCACACAAATGCAAAGCTCAGTCTTCGCGGACTGTATCTGCGTACTTATTTCAAAATTCGAAAATATGTTTTGCATTATTAAAAAAACATTATCATCTAGTCAATTATTGTGAAAGAACAAAATAAATTTCCAAATATTTATTTTTACTTATCGTGTGATAAAAATTAACAGACCGATAAACTTTTACTAACTACTTTTACTACTTTAAAACATTAATTTTGTTATGTTTATACTTTAATTTAAGTAAAAATCACGTTACAACCTTACGTAACAATCTAACCCTAATGGAGTCTTTGGGATAATTAAACATAGAAGTATATATTTATTTTTCTGTAATTGTTTATGTACACAGTACACACTTAAACATAGTACAGTTTTTTATTTAAAAAATCTCTTTTTGGCCCTTATATTCGTGTAATCACTTTACCAAAAACAACAACGAATACAACGAAGAGCAGTGGCGGATTTACATGTTTGCCGTCAGTAGGCTATTAACTTTTTGCCGCCCCTACTGACCTCTACACTTCACCCCCTTTTTTTAAGTGTGGCAACCACTTGAGCCGTCACCCCACCGAGATTTGTGGCGGGGCGATGTGTCGGAATTGACCGACTATACGGTGTGCCACTCTGTACCTGAAAAGGAGGGATACGGGCCCTCAATTCAATACCTTTTTTACGGGTAGAAACCCCTTTGGGCCGTCACATCCGTTATGATGTTCCACTTGTCACGGATGTGAAAGTAGGGGCGGCTGTTCTTCCAGGCGGGTAGTGTCAGTCGGCAACCGCCCGAAGAGGTACGCGAATAGCGTAAGGCCGCTCGCCGAGCCACGATGGCTCGTTTGTCGTCCCGGATCGAGATTCCATGTGGTGGTAGCATGTGCCATGGAAGTGCTCTAGCTTGTCCTCGAGTCCTTTTCCGGGCAGGACTACTTCAAGAAGCACCTGCACTCAGTCACTAGAAATAAATTTAAATGCTGCCTGTTAGGGCTTTGCCCGCTTGGGCAATTTGCCCGCCTTGGCCGCCCATGATCCGTGCCATGGCCGGTATCGACAGATGTTTCATCGCTGTCGAATCGTCATATGAAGATGTCATTGCGCGGCAGGAAACGCCGGACAGGGCCCGGGAGGAAGATTTCCACTGGGACCCAATTCGCCGCCAGCGAACCGGGCAGCGGAGGCGCGCATTCTAGGGCCTTATGCCACCTTGGGTGGTGATTAATAAAAAAAACTCAAGTAGTCAAAATTACTAATTTAAATTGTAATATTAAACCGCTATTGGAATATTTTAACAATCCATATTCACAAAGATATATTTCACCAGGCGTTTAGTAATTTTTAAATACAGATGTTGGAGTATTTGGAGCATAGTACTAAAATATTGTTATTTTCGTTAATTTTTCGAGATTTTTCGTGTTTAACCTTCGTGTTTAAATTAATGTTTATTTTAATTTCATTAAGGCAAAAAAAAATTATGATGTGTCGAATTTGCTGCCCTGCTGGTAAATCCCCCTCTGACAATGGGTATGCGGAGCGTACACACCACACAGCAGCACAGCCCTAACAGGCAGCATTTAAACTTACTCCATGAATGACTCTACCGAGTCGGTATAAACCGGGATATTTACATACCACATACAAGCCGCAAGAGTTCACACGAGCCTCAAGCTCAGAGCCTGTTCTGTTTCGTTCCTCATGGGCTGTAAGCACGTTGCAGATGCAGACCTATGCACAGGGGCAAAAACCGTGCATGCCGCACGTATAACGTTTTTATTTTAAGTGTCAAGCGCGGCTGCTTCGGAAAGTACCTGCACTCGGTCGCTAGGAGGGAATTGAGTCCCGCCTGTAACCACTGCGATTGCAGTGAGGACTCGGCTCAGCACACGTTGGCAATTTGCCCGCACCGTGTCCAGGGCTGGCGCGTCGTTGTTGGGGAGGAGACAGGTTCGGATCACCGATATATTCGGTTTGACGTCTCCACTCCTACGAATGACGCGCCGGTCAGACCGGCTTCACCTGAATCACGTTGGGCGCTCAAGGGCTTAGATCGAGAGCTCCTCCTGGAGCTCCTCCACGTTAGACGTAAAAAAAATGGCATCTCGTCATGGTGGGGCCGGATCTGGCGGACAACCAGTACGGTTTCCGTCAGGGGCGCTCCACCGTGGATGCGATCATGCGCGTGAGGGCTCTGGCGGAGAAAGCAGTTGCCCGGGCCAAAAAGGGGGTTTGGCGGTGTCCTTGGACATCGCCAACCTACACTTTGCCCTAGAGTTGCATCAGGGAGGCGCTCGTGTATCACGAAATGCCTCCCTACCTCCGCCGCATTTGCTGGAGAGAGCCGTTGTCTACCCAAGTAGGACCGGTCTCGGTAGACGTGAAATGTCATGCGGTGTTCCACAGGGGTCGGTGTTAGGGCCACTCTTGTGGAATATCGGTTGCGACTGGGTGCTTCGTGCTGCCTTCTTGGATGGTGTCGCCGTCATGTGCTACGCGGACGACACACTCGTGTTGGCGTGCGGCAAGACGCACCGTGACGCAACCATGAGGGCCACGGCCGGGGTTGCCCAAGTCGTTGAGCGGATCCGACGGCTGGGTCTCGAGGTGGCTCTGCACAAATCCAAAGCCTTGTTTTCATGGTCCTCGGAGGAAGCTACCTGAGGTATCCAGCCTCTAGTAGGAGGCACTCACATCGGCATCGAGCCCTCGATGAGATATCTGGGGCTCGTACTCGATCGCCGACGGGACTTCGGACATAATTTCCGAGGTCTGGTCCCCAATTTGTTTGAAGAAAAAAAAACAATTGAAAGTCGGAAATCGAATGTGGCATATGTTTTAAAAGAAGAACCTCATAGGGATCATGTGGAAAAACTTTCACAAGAAAATATCACACCATGAAGGTTTTATTTACGAGTATGTCAATTCAAAGTATCTATTACTATACAACGGCAATTTCATACTTTAACCCCTATTATTTGATAGTATGATAACTTTACTTTTTCCTGTCATCTGACAATAAAATATTTTCAACGATTGACATCTAGCACCTCACGATAAAGTGATTTTATTCTTGATCACTCTATTTAAGAACTTACAAAAAATGGTATTCTACTTTTTGTTCAGCTAGTTTCAAAAGCTTGTTTTTTTAAGTTTTTTTAATTATTATTTATTTCAAAATGACTACGAGTCACTCGGTTGATGCTTACATAATTATCTTGAAAAATATATCTATGTCGATTGATTTTGTGTTGAAGGTCACCTTGGTGGCGCGAAAGCTCAAATAAGATGTCTCGTGCTTGACGCGCGACGACAAAATGGTATTGGGTTGATGTTGTAAAGCACGTTGCACTCTGTAGATAAACAAAACGTACGGAGTTTCGATATTTCATCATATGTAAGTAAACGTTCTGTTGTTAGCGGTGTTCAGTTTACCGGAGACAGACGTGCGCATCGCTTCTCTTTCCGGTGATAACAGTTTGAATGCCCTGCCGTGGTGTGTAGTGCAGTGTGTACTATATAAAATAATAATTGTAGAAAAATGGAAGTGGCAGCCAAAGGAAACGTATTGGGGGGTAAGTTTATCCAAAATAATTTTTATTTATCGTTAAAAAAATAGAGTTATTTAATTGATTTTCTTTTAATATTTAATTATTCTATCCGTTAATATGATTACTTTACCATGATAGTTCTATAACTATTAAGTATCTTGCAGGCATTTCCCCTCCTTCCCCTATAAAAATAAATGTAGGTACCTCTCTTTGTTTATTCGTTGGTACTAAGAAATCAAACTGCTTAGTATGGACCTAGAGAGCCAGGTATGTACATGGCTCTCTCGAATATTATAAAAAATATATTGACTAACAGTCCAACACAAATTTATCTCATTTTGAAATTTACCCAGAACCACTTTAAAGTTAAGAGAGTTTTAGTAAAGGGCAAGTTCTGTAACAGGAGCAACGCAATAAAATTAATTTCCTACTCTTAGGGTTGTGGTTGAACTTCCTTTCTAGGGTATACCTGGTTCCCCGGCTATTAGTACCCGAGACGGCGTGCGGTTTTAGTCGGTTCGAGTCCGACATGCCACCGATAGGTGGTATCCGAGGGGATTTCCGCACGGAAAAAAAAAAAGGGTTGTGGTTGAAGAAAAAAAATCAAAATCATGCTAAACAAGTAAGATGGATAATTGCGGTTTTTTTATTCGATTCGTAAGACCGTCTAGAAACTTTGTAAAGACAATTAGTTTATACATTTTAGAAAAACAACTAAGAAGCAATTAATAACAATTTTAGAACTCAGTAAATTATGACATAAATAAGTCCAATTTTGTTACTCGGGGATTCTGAGCGTCGCTGAACACGAATATGTAGTAGGCGACGGTCTCCGAGGTACCTGGGGCCCAGGGTGACCGTCTGAATGCAAAAACCCCATTAAAATCCATCGTACTGCGTCAATTTGATCTTGCTGAGTGCTTCATTTCTTTGAATATTGGTATATTTTCTTCAAATTGGAATCAGACCAACTAGCTACTCACCTGATGGTAAACGGTAATTATTCATATTGGAATAGAAGCCAATCATATTTTGATGTAAATAAAAGCGGTTAGGTGAACCCCTGTTGGGCCAAGGACATGTAAAACGTACGACCTTTGCAAGTTCATCGTCCTGCAGGCTTGGAGGGCAACCGCTCGAGGTTAATGCAAATTTATTCACTTTAAAACTTCATATCATTGGAATAGGTAATTTCCAGTTATTGTTTATCCCATTAATTATCAATACCACTCATTAAAGTTTTACGCCGACTTCAAAAAAGTGGAGATTTTTAATTCAGTTGGTTTTTCTTTTATGTTTTTTATATCAAAACTCATGGACACTCATTTCTGAACTCATTCAAGAAAGATAATTGATGTTGTGACGAGCATTTTCATTTTTAACCAGTTGTAATACACCTTTACCCGGTGACCTCACTTTGTTGGTGTAAAACAACGAAAGAATTGCTGAACACTAGTTTTCTGTGAGGACATGGTACTATCTACTCCATCCCATCATCGACCGACCATGGACCGGCCCTTTACAGAGATACACTAAACAGAAAGGCAGACCTCATATTTACATTCACCATATTTCCTTGTCTGTCTCAGGTTACGTCCCAGCGCGATACATACTCTCCGTGCTCGGCTCCATCGGCATGGCCATCGTCTACGGTTTGAAGGTCAATCTCTCCGTAGCCATGGTAGGCATGCTAAACCATACGGCTCTAAATACAGTCACTGATCAAAATGCGAGTTTGAAGAATACTACTGACGACGTAAGTACCTATCTTTTATTACCGTAGGCCTATCGTTACCTAAGTTGGCGTTTGCGTTGTAGTTTTGTGAATCACTCTGAAATAAAGCAAGCTGGACAACTTAAGTTATCAAATAGCAAGTATTTCTTTAAGATATTCCATGAAATGCTGAGCTGACTGAGCCATTGCCTAACGCATAGTTAGTTAGTGCCAAATATGTAATAATTAACGTCATCAATATATGGCACATCACACTTTTAAACTTGCAATTCTATAAAATATAAATTAATTCGTGTTTACAGGCTTGTAACACGCTAACAGGCCTGTGGACACGGAAGATTTATCCTGCTTCAGAAATCAGTCAATCGTAATCAATAGGCAGATCGCGTTAATTTCTGTATTAATACAGCCCGCCCCGAAATCCTGGCATACGAGGAACAGGTCACACAACGAGCTACTATCATACCTGATACAAAATCACTCCTAGAAGCATGTGAACGCCCCATGAGGCGTCTGTGCTTTTGGAAGGAACTTAGTTGGCTCACCTAGCAAACATACCAACTCGCATAAAAACTGTTTTTGTGTCTAAACGCGGCAACTGGAGCCCACTACCGATACCAATCCTGTATTAAGAAATAAGTTCATCATTAAGTACTAATAATTGTACTACTATTAGTAAGTACTAATAATTGTGACTAAAAAGTCACAATAAGGCCTGAAAGTTTCTCTCTAGCACTCTTAGCTCTGTATTGATTAAAATTTGATAATACTAATACAAATACTTACATTAGAATGAAACTTCAGCGTATGTGATCACATCTAACCACGTGAACGTATGGTTTGATGGAACTGTTGAACTAACTAATTTGTGTACTCTGTAGCATTAATGTAATGAGTTATTTATCGCTAATCGTTTCTAAGAACTATTGACAGCTACAGAACGAACCACCTAATTAATATGAGAACGTTAGTGATGAGATAAGAATATTTATATGTTTTTCTTTTAAAGTGCGGAAAACAAAATATGTTCTGTTCAGTATTCTGATGCATGTACATTTTGTATCCATATACCTACTATACGTATATATTGTACATACATAGAGTGAAAATCATAAGTATATACTTATGATTTTCACTATAATATAAATATAATATATTAAAAGGGCTATCTTTTTATGATATCATAAAAAGATAGCCCTTTTATTATATTAAACTACTATTGATTGTTACTAACTAATTATTATTATCAATGATCTCTTGAGTAACAACATACAACCTTGGCCAAAAGTATTAGGTACCCCAGAAAAATGCACAATTCATGTTTACTGATTGAACAATGAATAAATGCTTATCTTAGATGGCATGCCGGGGTCACAAATAACTTCCTAGAAAAGCAAGCAGCTATCTGTTATGGTCATAAAACACCTGGTGACTGAAAACAAAGGATTTGTTTTTATGCGTTCTTATCAGTCAATGTTTGGTCACTTGTGTTCAGGACTCTTACGAGTAAACAAGCTTTTATTTCTAACATAGTGATTATAATGACGCGTAATTTATTTAAAAATGCCGAAAAGAAGTGAAATTAGTTTGGAAAACAGAGTATAAATACAACTTTTCCATGAACAAGGTAAGTCGCAAAAAGAAATGGCTAAGTTAGTGAAATGTTCGCGTTGCGCTGTGCAATCTGCTATCAAACGGTTTGCTGAGACTGGCAGTCACGCTAATAAACCAAGAACAGGCAGAAAACGTGTGACTTCGAAGCGCGAGGATAGAAAATTAGTACGCGAATCTATGAAAGATCGGAAGAAAACATCATCAGAGCTTGCTGCTACTTTGTCCGAAGAGGCTGGAAAGCCAATAAGTGCTCGGACCACCAGAAGAAAACTTGGAGAAGCAGGCTTAAAAGGATGCAAAGCCAGGAAGAAGCCCTGGCTTTCAGAAGCTAACAAAGGAAAACGACTTGAATGGGCTCGACGGCATCAACATTTTACTGAGGAAGATTGGGCCAATGTGGTATAGTCTGACGAATCTAACTTTGAGGTAAGTAAATTTTACTGCTTTTGTTATTAATAATCATGGTCAGTTATTTATTTAACTAACATAATTAATGCAGTTTAAAAAAAGTGTTTTTTCTTTTTTCAACAGATATTTGGAACGCCAGGTGTGACCTTCGTGAGGCGACGTGTGGGCAAAGAATACCATCCAGATTGCATCGTACCGACAGTAAAGCATGGAGGAGGCAGCATAATGATCTGGGGCTGCATGGCTACTGATGGGGTTGGCGAAATGTTTGCTTGCGAAGGTCGTATGAACAGCGAAAAGTACATAAAAGTTCTTAAAACTGCGCTTATGCCTTCGCTATCAAGTATTTTCGGCGATACCAACTTAGAAGGAGTTATATTCCAGCAAGACAATGCACCTTGTCATAAGTCAGCGACTACGATGCGTTGGTTTACTGAAAACAACATTGACTTGTTTGATTGGCCAGCGCAGTCACCAGATTTGAACCCAATTGAACATCTTTGGAGCTTTTTGAAGCGCAAGATAAAAGAGCATAGTATCACATCGAAAACGGCATTAAAAATGCGTTAGTACAAGAATGGCATGCCATTACAAGGGAGGATTGTTCTAAGCTTGTACGCAGCATGCCAGCTAGAATTAGTGCAGTAATTAAATCCAAAGGTGGACCGACTAGATTTTAAGTTTTTTTCATTCTTTTAAATCAATTCAAAAAGTATAAGTTGTTTTTTTCCTTTATTTTAGTTAAAATGTAGGGTGCCTTATACTTTTGGTCAAGGCTGTATGTGTTTTCAAAGTTTGGAGCGCAATAGCTAGTCCTATTTTTGCGGCAGTTAAATATTTAGGCAATTTTACGAGCAACGTGAGATAAGAAAGATTTGCAGGGGAATCTCGTAATAATAATCCCTAGCCCACACATGAATTACAAATAAATTTATTTAACTCATAACAAAAAATCTATCTATACTTTTATATGGTACAATTTTTTCAACAGAGTTTGTCGCAGAGTACATTTAATCGTCGGTCACTTAACACATATTAATAAAATGTTTTCCTGCACAATCAGACACAGGGTCGATCGTAAACTTTAATTTAAAAGTGATGTAGGTTTATTTAGGTGAAAGCAGTAAACCGCTGACAGATACGGGCGGACACAGTGTAACTCCAAATATTCCTCTCTAAAAACCTCAAATTTTACGACATATTTTGATATAACAGAGCATCTACGAGACTGAGGTTCAGACTAAAATAATTATCCTTGAACGGTCATCGTTGATTAGGCACTTTTGGCTTGAATTCAAGTGACCTGAATAATTTTGGAGAAAGAAATGCATTTGATTTAACTTTAGTACTTGTGATATTGTATAGGAGTGTCTCCTTTTGAACAATCTAAAGGTTAACTACCTTAAATACTGAAAAGTAGTGTTGAATACTATTTAGCAGACGCCAAACAAAAACTAAAAGGGCAGAATGTAACAATGTCTGAATGTAACTTTGATCAAAACTAGGTGCTTTAACAAGAGGAGCTGCCTTTTCATTTCCATACACTTAGTGGCTATATGGTTGAACTGAGGCACTGATGAAACTCTTTATAAATATTGTTAGTATGAATGTTAACTTAACTTGATCCTATTACCTCTTCATATGTGTATACCACTGATCATACTTAGCCATTTTTGATGAAATTCACTAAAACCCATGTCTGGGAGACAGGGGTCGCGGACAGAAATTAGTAAACCTATATAAAAACAAATATTAGGTACCTAAAAATTTTAAAATTTTGGTTATTTTTTTATTAAAGCTAATCAAAGTACTGGCCCAAATTATCTATACAATTATGCAATTTTTATGGCATATCCCTTTGCTGTAGTAGTCTACTGTACGGAAGGCAATGAAGTCAGCGAAAGTGTTTTGTACTGCCTCTCGGGTGTTGATTTTTTCCCCACTTAACAAAATCTGTTGGGGCACGGTCCGGTGAGTACAGTAGGTGACGGAGAACTTTCTGCTGTAATTCTTGTAGCGGTCTGGCGTAAAGCGTGAGTTCGCGCATTGTCGCGGAGAAGCAATGGGAAAGAGCGATTGACCAGTCGTGGCTATTGAATTGCGAGCCTTCTCTATCATTGTTATGCAATTCACAAATGTCAATGTAACTGTTGTGCCATTCGGTAAGAAGCTGTGATGTACAAGGAATTAACGAGCGTAACCCGTACAGAGCGGACGTGTTGTGAGTAATTTATTAAATACACAAAATTGCGACCAAACGATTCTAAGTTTTACGACACTTGAATATAACATCTTTTGCTACAACAGTGAATAGTGTAATTACGTCTACAGTCTTCTGAGTGACGGGTACATTTCAGCAGCACCTACGAGGTGATAGCTCCTCACACCTTCGGGTAAGAGAGACGATTTCATTACTTTCTTAACCCTTCATCAAGCGGGGAGCTTACACCCATCGCACTGTTCACGTGTATCACCGCTGTACACAGATCTACGATGAGCGTACTACGCTCACCTACTGGAAGTGGCACTGATGTCAGTTTCGGAGGTTCTCAACCAAACTTGTCAGTAGTAGATTCGAGCGCTCCTTCACAGATCACATTTCGCAAACGGAAGCTGTTTGACGACAATGATCCAATTAGAGCTGAATTATCCGAAATTCGAAAACAAATGTCCGAGATGATGGCCATTCTAACATCTGTTAAAAACAACCAAACGGACAACACCAATAAACTTTATGAGGAAGTAACGTCTATAAAAAACCATATTAATGCCATAAATAACACAATGGAGAAAATTGCCGTTGAAAATAACTATCTTAAAACTAAACTGATAGGTTTGGAAACTATCACAGAAAACTCTCAGAAAAAAATTAATCTTTTAGAAGCGGATGTTAATAAGCTTAAAACCTCACCTCCTATAGCTTCAGCTGCCCAAGGACTCCAACCACACATAACTTACGAAGAGATGGTAAATGAACTACAAGAGCGAAAGTTAAGATC